CTCCCGCAGAGCCCTTTGCCGTCTGCTGGGGCTGCCCGGGGCCCCTCCCCACGCCTGGCATGGCCCACACGGGCTGCGCCCCACGTCCCCACAGCAGGGCCCGGCGGTGTGGCCGGGGGGCTGTGCTGGCCACCCCCCCACTGCGCCTGCCCCACAGCGTGGATCTCCAGGGCTGCCCAGACGTGTGACAGGGACGGGTGGGCTCTGCCTCGGTGCCATCATGGACAATTGCTCTTGACCTGAAAAAGGCTTTGAGGGAGAAGACACCACTTGTCTTTCTCAGCACGTCGACGCACTCCCAGGCGGTTCTTGCTCTTCCCTTTCCAGGGCTGGGGATGGGGACACGTACAGGCGGCCTTAGCTGCCAGGACCAAGCACCAGCTGGACGCTGTGTCTGCTGGGATGCCCTGGACCGCTCCTGAGCCCTTTGCCTCCTCCAGCACCTGTTCCCACCCACTTTGGTGCCCAGGACCCCAACAGCCCCCTTTCTCCTTTTTTTTCAGGATCCTCTTTGGGGAGAGACCATACTGGTGGGTCCATGAGACGGACTATTACAGCAATGCCTCTGCCCCAGAGATCCAGCAGTTCCCACTCACCTGCGAGACTGGCCCAGGTAGGGTCCCCCGGTGCCTGCCCGGGGACCTGCACATGCTGCTCCCCACTCCAGGTCTCGGTCCCCACGGGGAGGGTGTGCTGGCACGGTCGGTGCCGTGGCTGGCAGCACACCAGCAGCACTTGCCCTGGCTAGCTCAAGCAGGGCCATTATCTTCGCACCGCAGCACCGGCCCCCGCCGCGCTCCCGGGGACACCGGCCGTGCCTGCGGCGGGTGGAGGCAGGGCAGCCCCTGCGCCGAGCAGACCTTGACCCCTGGTGCAGACGTGGCGGTTCAGCACAAACCCCCGCCCGTGCTCGGCCTCAGCCTTGGCCCCGCGCCGTGGGGAAGGGGTTTGCCCAGCTCTGGCTGCGCTTTGCCCGCAGCTTTCCACGGGAGCCAGGGGAGGCTGCAGGCATCCCAGCACTCCCAGCGCGCGCCACCGAGGACGGTCAGTGCCCTCTGCCCTGTCCTGCCTGGCAGATGGGCTGCAGAGCCAGAGCCGTGCTCCCACACTGCCCCTGCTCTGCTGGTCCCTGCTCCAGCCTCACCTGTGCCCAGGACGGAGCCGGGTGCCTGCCATGGGGTGCCCAGCGGCAGAGGGGTGCTGGGTGCTGTGTGGACCCAGTGCTGCAGCCTCTGGAGCTGGGGCTTCTGCTTCGGAGCCCTGCGGACAGGAGGGCGCCACCCACTCTGATGGGGGGGTCTGACCTGGGGCTCTCTTCTGGCCCAGGGAGCCCCTCTGGCCACGCCATGGGCGCAGCAGGCGTGTACTACATCATGGTGACGGCCCTCCTCTCCTCTGCCAAGGGGAAGAAGCAGTCAAGGACACTCAAGTACTGGTAAGCTCTGCACCAAAACCACCGTGCTGGGCAGAGGCTGCTCCGGCCCGAGGAACGCACCGCAGAGCCCATCAGGGCCCAAGCTGCGGGCAGACACTGGCCGTGGCACCCCGGGAGGGGTGTGCGCAAGGACAGGCTCAGCGGGCGGCCGGGCGCTGCTCGGGGTGTGCGATGGCAGCACCCAGGGCAGCGCGAGCTGGCCCTGGCACCGACGTGGCCGCCTGCCCTCGCAGGGTGCTGTGGATGGTGCTTTGGACGGGGTTCTGGGCAGTTCAGGTCTGCGTCTGCCTGTCCCGAGTCTTCATTGCCGCCCACTTCCCCCATCAGGTCATCGCAGGGGTCATATCAGGTGAGTGCATCGGACCCCCAGTCCCCTTCCCCACGGCACCGGGCGCTGGACCGCAGCTCCTGCAGCACTGGCCTGACGGACACCCGCGGGGTCGTGATGCAAAGCTGCCTCTGTGGCTCATCGTCACGGGCAGGACGTCCTCCAGGCAGGGCTCTGCCAGCCGCTGCTGGGCTCTGGGGGACAGGCAGGGCAGGCTCGGGGGTGTCACTGGGCGAGGGAGCCGAATCAGCCGCCTGTGAGCAGTGGGGCCAGCTGTGGCTTCCAGGGCAGTCAGCACCGCAGGGAGCACCGGGGTCGCCCCTGGCACGTCTCCTGCCAGAGCGCCCGGGGCTGTGGGGTCCCCTCGGCTCCAGCACTTGCTGACGGGCGCTGCCTCCTCTACCGCTTCCTTACCGGCAGGGATGGCCGTGGCCAAGACCTTCCAGCACGTCCGCTGCATCTACCACGCCAGCTTCCACCGGTACCTGGGCGTCACCTCCTTCCTCTTCAGCTTTGCCCTGGGCTTCTACCTGCTGCTGCGGGTGCTCGGCGTGGACCTGCTCTGGACGCTGGAGAAGGCGCAGAAGTGGTGCGCCCACCCTGAGTGGGTCCACATCGACACCACCCCCTTCGCCAGCCTCCTCCGGAACCTGGGCATCCTCTTCGGGCTGGGGCTGGCCCTCAACTCCCACATGTACCTGGACAGCTGCCGGAGGACGCAGGGCCGGCGGCTGCCCTTCCGCCTGGGCTGCGTCGCTGCCTCCCTCCTCGTCCTGCACCTCTTCGACGCCTTCAAGCCGCCCTCCCACATGCAGCTGCTCTTCTACTTCCTCTCCTTCTGCAAGAGCGCGGCCGTGCCGCTCGCCACTGTCGCCCTCATCCCGTACTGCGTCTCCCAGCTCCCGGCCGCGCAGAGCAAGAAGGGGCTCTAGGGGCGTCCCCGCAGGTAACAGTGCCCCCGGGCAGGCGGCCGCCCCGGCGCTGGGCTTGGGAGCAGTCACCGGGCCGTGGGCGCACCCCAGCCGCTGTTTGCTCCCCACGGAACCGGCCCCACGGCGGGAGCGGCCCGCGGAGCTGCGCTGGCGGCACAGACCCACAGTGCCAGGCTGATGGCACAGCGAGCCCCGTGCTCCCAGGACTCTCCTGGTGCCCCCCGCTCCCCCGGGACACAGCAGCTGCGGGGGGGAGACCCTGCAGTCCTGCAGCTCACGGGGACGCGCCCCGCGGGGAGCAGGGTGCTCACCCAGGGGCGCTGGGGCTCTGCTGGCGAGGCAGCTCCGTTACAGGAACAGGCGGACGCTCTGGTTTGGAGACAAAGCTCCGGCTTGCGGGAGCCCCCCCAGCCCCGAGGTGTTCAGCAGTCACTGCTGTGGGAAGCAGCACGTGGTACATGTATGTGTGCGTATGTGACACGTGTCTACATACACGCGCGGGTGTGTCTGTACACAAGAGGCGTGTATTAAAGCTGGAGGTGTGTTTAGCCGGTGAGGTCCCGCTGGGCAGTGGGTGGGATGGGGGCTGGCTCCCGGGGGCAGGACGTCGCTCCGGGGGACACGGGCACAGCCCCG